GGCCTCATCCTCCTCCTGCCCCTCGTTCTCTTCTTCTCCTCGTCGTCATCCTCCGCCTCATCCCCAACCTATCCGACGAGCGGCGGCGCGGGCCCTCCGTCGGAATGGCGAAAGCAATCTTCATGCGATGATCGCTGGAAGCAGGAGGAGAGGAGGAGAAAGGAGGATAACGACGAGGAGGGGAGGAGCAGGAAGATCAGTGTGGGAGGGGGGAAGAGAAAAAGGAAGAGGGAGACGATGAAGATGAACAGGGAGGAGGGGAAACGGAGAGGAGGAGGAGCATACAACACACAGGAGACGAGACGAGACGAGACGAGATTCGCGTGTCCGCCGGCAGGCGGGCACCTTCGGAGCGGCGCGGGCGGGCCAGGGCCGAGTCGAATGCGGTCGTGTGCCAGGCGATCCTTCCCCCAGTTGTTCCGCACCCTCCCGCAACGTACAACCACGTATTGGTCAGAGTGAGGGGGCCGAACGGTCATTCACTGTCCCTGGCTGCGTGGCTGAAGTGGAATTCCGCGGTGCGGATTCTCGTTGTTGTTTGTGGTTGTTTGTTGTTTGTTGTCGTCGTCCCACCCGCAACCCGCCCCGCGACCCACCCGCAACCCAACCCGCGACCCACCCCGCGACCCACCCGCGACCCACCCGCGACCCACCCGCGACCCACCCCGCGACCCACCCCGCGACCCACCCCGCGACCCACCCCGCGACCCCCCCGCGGCCCACCCCGCGACCCACCCGCGACCCACCCGCGACCACCCCGCGACCCACCCGCGACCCACCTTCGACCCACCGCGACCACCCCGCGACCACCCGCGGACCCACCCGCGACCCACCCGCGACCCGGCCGCGGCCCACCGCGACCACCGCGACCCACCCGCGGGACCCACCGGCGACCCAACCGGACCACCGCGGACCCACCCCGGACCTACCGCGACCCACACCTTCGACCAAACCACGTTCAAGTTACAACCATTAATTTCGGCGCCCGCGGCGTTTTTTTTTTTTTTTTTTTTTTTTTTTATGTTTTTGCATTCCTCCCAGGTGGAGAGCCCGCGACCCACCCCGTGACCAGCTCGCGGCCAACCCGCGACCCAAACCACGTTCGGGGTACAAACCACATGTTTCGGCGCCTGCGGCGGGCATCTTTTGCATTGGTTTCAGGTGGAGAGCCCGCGGCTCACACGCGACCACGTTCAGGGTACAAACCACATTTTTCGGCGCTTGCGGCCGGCATCTTTAGCATTCGTTCCCGGTGGAGAACCCGCGGCCCACCCGCGACCCAAACCACGTTCAGTGTACAAACCAATGTTTGTTGGCGCCTGCGGCAGGCTGCTTTTGCATTCCTTCCAGGTGGAGGTGGAGAGCCCGCGACCCGCCCACGACCTAAACCACGATCACTGAACAAACTAATGCCGCACAAGCGCGGGGGCAGATTTTTGCATGCCGCCTGAGCCCGCAGGGACCTCTTCGAGCCCCGCGCATCCACACCAGCCCGTCCAGCAACTTTGCCCTGGCGAATGCCCTTGATCAGAGAAGGCGGGTAGCATAAAGTGGAAAAAAGGATTGCGTTGCGGCAGTCTTGGGAAAGGAGGGGGAGGCGGGAGGAGTAAACAGGGGACGAGGAGAACGCGGAAGAAGAGAGCATGTAAGGATAATGTGGAGAAAGAAGAGGAGGAGGAGGAGGAGGAGGAGGAGGAGCAGGAGGACGAGGAGGGGGAGGAGGGGGAGGAGGGGAAGGATGAGGACGAGGAGGGGGAGGAGGGGAATGATGATGATGATGATGATGATGATGATGATGATGATGATGATGACGATGATGGGCGACAATGGGAGGACGGTGATGGAGGCCGATGAGGGGGAGGACGACAATGGGAGGACGATGATGAAAGAACGAGGGGGAGAGAGGGAGGACGAGGAAGAAGAGGCGGAGGAGGAGGACGAGGTGGAGGAGGAGGATGACGATGACGATGGGGACGAGAACGAGGAAGAGGAGGTGGAGGAGGAGGAGGAGGAGGAGGATGACGATGACGATGAGGACGAGGACGAGGAACAGGAGGTGGTGGAGGAGGAGGAGGAGGAGGAGGAGAGCGCCATCGACAGGGAAGGTGGGGGCCACGAGGTCCGCCGGCTCGACGACGCCCGCGTCGCCCGCGCCCGCCCCCTCACTCTTATCCGCAATTGCGGGGTGTTGCGTATTATCCAAAGGGGCTGGTCGTATAATTTGTGATATGTCGTCGAAGCACCTCTTTCGCTATCCTTCGTGTCTGCGCATCGCTGGCCTGGCGTCGTGGACATCAGGCCCCCACGCCGCAGCAAATCTGGTCCATCTGTGGTGGGGTTGTGTTGCGATTCGGACTGTCCATCGCCACCTGCGTTTGCGGCATAGGGCCGTCCAGTCGTGCACTTGGAAGCGTGTCGCGAGGTTTGCCGCGACGCGGGTAGCTCTGCAAATGAAATCGTCCACGGTACCATGCTGGAGTTGTTTTCGACGACGTCGGGGTGATCTTGTGTTCTGGCGTCATTGTCGCTCGTGCTGTCGTTTGTCCGTGTGCTGTCGGCGCGCTGACCAAGGTCGGGGTTGGCGTCGCTACCTGTGTCGGTGCTTCGTGGTGCTGGCGCTCTTTCGCCTGGGTGTGTTCACGATGAGTCGCAGCGTGCGTCGCTGGGCGCGCCGCAAGGCCAAGAACATGTTCTTGGTGATCGTCCACGATGTGCAGCCGTAAAGCACGCTTGGCATCACCGTGCGCTGGAATAGCCCAAGCCTGCTGTGCAAAGGATATCGTTTGCTTGTCAGCTCGTCGCGGGCTTTGGTGGAACTTCCATCATCCCATGGCAAGTATGTTGGAGAGCTCAGTGATGTGGTACAGTCAAAAACCCTAATAAGGACGCGCGGTAAAGACGCAAGACCCTTGAAAGCCGAAGTCGGGATTTCTGGGGCGGCGGACGACGAAAACCTCAAGGCCGCAAGAGCAAGAAAGAGCAAGGACGCAACGGTACCCTGAGCAAAGTCGGGCGTCCTTATTTGGTTTTTGACTGTAGTCATGTAGTGACAGCCTTCGACCCAAGCATGCCGTGCTTTACTCGGCGCGGAGGATTTCGACAGTGTCTCCGTCGATGCCATCGAGACTCGTCGTTCGTCGTGTTGCCTGCCTGTATGCGTAAGAACTTGGGTCTCGATTGGGTGCATCTCTGGCCCGCAAGAGAAGGCCGCGTGTTTGAGATCACGGAAGATACACTTTAGTTGTCGCACGTAAGGTGCCAGGAGAAACGCGTCATCGGCAAACCACACATTGGTCAGATGAGTAATCTCCCTGTGCCCCATTTATATACCGAAGTTTTTGCTCCAAGATGACTTGGTTTGGGTTTTCTGGAACACGTGCTCGAGCACAGCGTTGAGCAGGTAAGAGGTGAGTGGGTCACCTTGCTTGACTGCGCGCTGGAGGTTGAAGTTGTAACTGTTGCCGTCGTATCTCACTGTGTTATCACTGTGGCCGTCTGCTCGCAATAGAACTTTTGGGTGATGTACTGCGTTGGACAGTTCTGCTCCCGTAGTGCTTCTCATAAGCACTGATGGTCGACGCAATCGAATGTTCTGTTGAAGTGTATCGTTGCTGCCCGCAAATTGACGTGCCACTCGTATGATTCCTCGACCGGCAATGTTGCAGTGAAGAGGTTGCATTGCGTGTTGAAGCTCTCTTGCGACATGTAGCTTGGTCTGGTGATTGCTGGGGGTCGGAGAATGCCACAGGACGGTTGCAGAATTGTCGGGGCATGAACTTGTACAGCGGCGGTCTGTTTGAGGTTGGCCTGCAACTGTCTGAATGTTGTGGGTCACCGGGCTCGAAGATGACGCTGTTTGTGGTGCGTCTGCGTTGGTCTGGAGGTGTCCGCACTGGGGCCAATACATTGCTGAACAACTTCAGAAGGTGCTGCCCGATGGTGACGCCCCAAGCTTTCAGAAGCTCCGCGGTGAGGCCAGCCGTGAAGCCGTATCGTTGCACTTCCCATGTTTGAACTGCTTCGCAACCTGATGCAACTCCTCTTCGGTGACTGGTGGGATGCTCTGTTGCGTGCTGACTGTCGTGGTGTCTTGTTCGTTGGCTCCCCTTGCTTGTGTCAGGGTTTTTCGTGACTGGGGAACGTCGGTATAAAACCTCGAAGTCGGCGAAGACGTCTGCGATCCCCTGGTGGTCTGTTTCGTCGTTGCCAACCGCTGTCTTCATGGTTGGTCTTCGATGTCTCTCTTGCTAGACTTGATCCCAGATACTTGATGGACGCAACGAAAACTGATAACAATATCACTCAGCGCTGCGTGTTGTCGAAATCTTTTGGTGGCCAGGTGCCGTCGTAGGCTACGTTTGCTGAGAACTGTTCTGGTTGATGTGTCGCTGCGAGGTGTGTCTCTGCGTTGCCTCGCGAATGCCTGTAATTGCCGCGTGGCCTCGTCACGGTCGCACGCGACATAGGCC